CTAAACAAGGTGTCCAATTGCAACAGCCTGGCTGCTTCCTGCCTGGGGGAATCCTTTGTTGGGAGGTGCTAGCTGGTATGTCAGACTACTCTGAGAAGCCATTGAAATCCATTAAGCATGTGGACATATTAACGGAAAGGAGAAAACCATGAAAACGAACAAAATCTAGCTATTTTTAAGAAAACCCTCTAATCAAGACAGTGAATAAAGGAAATAATGAATAACACTCAGAAAATGGGAATTCCAGACAGGAAACAATCAGGGCCAGCTAACACCTCCCAACAAAGGATTCCCCCAGGCAGGAAGCAGCCAGGCTTTGAAGCTGCAATGCTAATCAAAGTGGCCAATTGCAACATTGAAGCTGCAAGGCCATTCAATGCTAATCAAGGTGGCCAATTGCAACAGCCTGGCTGCTTCCTGTATGGGGGAATCCTTTGTTGGGAGGCACTAGCTGGCATGTCGGACTAGTCAGAGAAGCCATTGAAATCCATTAAGCATGTGTCCAATTTTAACAGAAAACCATGAAAATGAACAAAATCTAACTAGCAATATTAAAAAGTCTAAAATCAAGACAGTAAATAAAGAACAACGCTTAAAAATGGGAATTCCAGACAGGAAACAATAAGGGCCAGCTAACACCTCCCAACAAAGGATTCCCCCAGGCAGGAAGCAGGCAGGCTTTGAAGCTGCAATGCTAATCAAGCTGGCCAATGGCAACATTCACACTTCCCTACAACATACATTATTCCACAGATATATAAACCCTATTTTCCTAGTTTCCAACAGACCTCACAACCTCTGAGGATGCCTGCCACAGATGTGGGTGAAACATCAGGAGATAATGCTTCTGGAACGTGGCCAGATAGCCCGCAAAACTTACAGCAACCCATATATTATGTAATTTATCTGCAATCTTGGATACATTTGACTTTTGAGTGACTAAAGGAGGTGGAAACAGGAAGCTTTTGTTACTATATTACTCATTCTGATGGTTACTTTAGGCAATATAAACACACAGCCCAAGCTTTAATGCCTTCCTGGTCCTCACTATTACATTGTTTAGGTTTTGAATTGTATTTTCGTAAAGGTGGTGAGCCACTCTAGGCCTTGATCCAGAAAGAATATCAATAATAATAATAATAATAATAATAATAATAATAATAATAATAATAATAATATATTAATAATTTATTTCTAGCCTGCCTCTCCCCATTGTTAAAACACATCACCATAAATACATGCAATAAAATGCATATTATTAAAACATATTTCTACAAAAGGCACATATTTAAATACAAGTTGCAAAGATTAAAATGCAATAATGATGGGATGTACAATTTAAAATTAATGGTTTGGACTGGTGAGGCCTGCCACTTGTAACCCACTTTTCCCTCGGAAAGAATATTATTATTATTATTATTATTATTATTATTGCAATAAAATAATAAAATATATTGCTAAATTATATTAATATTGGGTTGCTGTTAGTTTTTTTTGGCTGTATGGCCATGTTCCAGTAGTATTTCCAACAGACCTCTGAACAAGCCTTTGAGGAAGCTTGCCACAGATGCAGGCGAAATGTCAGGAGAGAATGCTACTGGAACGTAGCCGTACAGTACGAGAAACCTCACAGCAACCCAGTGATTCTGGCCATTAAAGCCTTCAACAACATGTTGTTGTTGTTGTTGATAATCATTATCTAGACTGAAATATCCAATAGTCCCTAATAATTATTATTATTATCGCCATCATTTCACACAGCTAGACTGCAATATCCAATAGATCCAATTATGATGTTGTTGTTGTTGTTATTATCATCACCATCATTTAACATCACTATAGAGATGGGATTTGGGCTTCCAAATGTGCTGGACTGCAATATCCAGTAGTCCCAATTATTTATTCTTGTTATCATCATCTTTTCACACAGCTATAGAGCTGGGGTGTAGGCTCCCAAATGTGCTAGGCTGCCAGTATCCAGTAGTCCCAAATTATTATTATCATTTCACACAGCTATAGAGCTGACATATTGGCTATTTATTTATTTACAGTATTTATATCCCACCCTTCTCAACCCACAAACAACTCAGGGTGGATTACAATGTACATATACATAGCAAGCAGCCATTCAATGCCGTAGACATACAACATATATAGACAAACACAGAGGTAATTCAATATTCCAGCTTTCCGGCTTTTCGTGAGGGTATGCTTGATTCCGGCCACAGGGGGAGCTGTTGCTTCACTGTCCATTTGTGACACTGAGTCCTTGATGGAGTACATCCTCATTCTTATGCATGTTGCTGGAAGGTTTTATGGTGTTATAAATTAATTAAATTAGCCTCCCTGCATAAAGCGGTACCTAAATTTACTAGCTGACAGATGCAACTGTCTTTTGGGCTGCATAGGTCAACAGCAAGCTAGACTATTAATGGCCGGGAGTTTACTCCGACCTGGGCTGGCTTCGAACTCATGACCTTTCAGTCAGTAGTGATTTAAAGCAGCTGGCTATTAACTAGCTGTGATACAGCCCGGTCCCTATTGGTAGACTGCAATATCCAAAAGTCCCAATTAATTATCATCATCATTATTTCAGGCAGCTATAGAGCTGAGGTATAGGCTCTGAATTTGGAAGTCCCAGAGGAGCTTGACGTGTTCATTCTCTGTAACTTTTTCCGGCTTGTGATCCCACCAGTTCTTTGTCTCAGGCAGATGGTGTTTGTGGCACAAGTTCCAATGAATCATCTGAGCAACGGTGTTGTGCCTCTGCTTGGAGTCTGTCTGAGCGATCTTCTTGCAGCAGCTGAGGATGGGATCTATTGCTTCATCTGCTTCCTTGCAGAGTCTACATTTGGGATCTGTTGTTGACTTTTCAATTCTGGCTTTGATGGCACTGGTTCGAATGGCTTGTTCTTGGGCGCCAAAATCAGGCCCTCCGTCTCCTTTTTCAGAGTTCCATTTGTTGTTGTTGTTGTTGTTATTATTATTTAAAACACAGGGTCAGTGCCAATTGTTTCTAAGTGCAGGCCAAGGTCTTTAGGCACTGCACCCAATGTGCCGATCACCAATGGGACCACCTTGACTGGCTTGTGCCAGGGTCTTTGCAGTTTGATCTTTAAATCCTCATATTGTGTCAGCTTTTCCAGTTGTTTCTCTTCAATCCTTATTATTATTATTATTCCAGTAACTACAATTGCCTAATATCAAGGTCTATTTCCCCCAAACTCCATCTGAGTTCATATTTGTGCATATGGAATATTCATGCCAAGTTTCATCCAGATCCATCATTGTTTGAGTCCACAATGGTCTCTAGATGTAGGTGAACTACAACTCCCAAACTCAAGGTCAATGCCCACCAATCCCTTCTCTTGTTTTCTTTTTGATCATGGGAGTCTTGTGTGCCAAGTTGGGTTCAATTCCATCATTGGTGGAGTTCAGAATGCTCTTTGATTGTAGGTTAACTATAAATCCCAGCAACTACAACTCCTGAATGACAAAATCATTTTTTTTTAGTGATCGTCACTCCTTGGGTTAGTAGGCCTCTTGTGGCCAACTTTGGCAGCAATTCATCAAGTGGTGTTAGACTTACGTTAATCCCACAAATGAACATTACATTTTTATTTATATAGATATACTAGCTGTACCCACCATGCATTCCTGTGGCCAACCTTCCCTCTTTCTCTCCTTCTTTCCCTCCTTCCTTCACTCCCTATTTCCTTCCTTCCTCCTTTTTCTTTCTCTTCTGCTGTCTCTCTTTTCTTGCTTCTCTTTCCTTCCCTCCCTCTTTCTCTACATCTTCCCCCTTTCCTTCGCTCCCTCTTTCCTTCCTTCTTTCCCTTTTTTCTTTTCTTCTCTCCTTCCTTCCTTCTCTAACTTTCCTCCCCCCCCCATTTTCTTTCCCTCCCTCTTTCTCTCCTTTCTTCCTTCTGTACCTTTCCTTCCTTCTCTCTTTGCTTCCATGCTTCCTTCACTCCCTCTTTCCTTCCTTCTTTCCCTTTCTTTCCTTCTCTCCTTCCTTCCTTCTCTAACTTTCCTTCCTTCCCTTTTTCTTTCCCTCCCTCTTTCTCTCCTTTCTTCCTTCTCTACCTTTCCTTCCTTCTCTCTTTGATTCCATGCTTCCTTCTCCCTTTCCTTCTTTCTTTCTTTCACTTCCTCCTTCCTTCCTTCTCTCCCCTTCCCTCCCTCTTTCTTTCTTTTTCTGTATTGTCATTTAGCTTTTTGGGGCTTTTTAGTCCTTTCTGCTGTGTTTTTCAGTGTTTTTATGAGTGAAGGACATACATTGGGTTACTAGGTTCTTGAAGGTTTTTTTCGGGCTATAGGGCCATGTTCTAGAGGCATTTCTCCTGACGTTTCGCCTGCATCTATGGCAAGCATCCTCAGAGGTAGTGAGGTCTGTTGGAAATAGGAAAATGGGTTTATATATCTGTGGAATGGCTGGGGTGGGGCAAAGAGCTCTTCTCTGCTGGAGCTAGGTGTGAATGTTTCAACTGACCACCTTCATTAGCATTTGAAGGCCTGGCTGAGCCTGGGGGAATCTTTTGTTGAGAGGTGTTAAGATGTGCCTGGTTGTTTCCTCTCTGCTGTTTTGCTGTTGTAATTTTAGAGTTTTTTAATACTGGTAGCCAGATTTTGTTCATTTTCATGGTCTCTTCCTTTCTGTTGAAATTGTCCACATGCTTGTGGATTTCAGTGGCTTCTCTGTGTAGGTGTCTTGTGTCCAAATTTGGTGTCAATTCATCCAGTGGTTTTTGAGTTATGTTAACCCCACAAACGAACATTACATTTTTATTTATATAGATTTGTAGCAAGTATTGGATAGCCAACTTTTCTGGGCAGGGTTTTTGGACTACCATAACCTAGCATGACACCGATCCATGCTGGGTGGGGATGCTGGGCACTGTCATCCAACAAGTAATGCATGCTCTTGAAGTCCCCAAAGTGGGTTGCGCAGCTTGCAATTGTGCAAAAGGAAGACTGACTTCTCTTTGCTTTCTTCCTAGCCGCCACGCAAGCCACCCGGGCGCTGATGATAGTCTCCCTGGTGCTGGGGGCCCTTGCCATGTGCATTGCCATCATGGGCATGAAGTGCACCCGCTGTGGAGGAGATGACAAGACCAAGAAAGCCCGTATCGCCATGAGCGGAGGCATCGTCTTCCTGGTTTCCGGTAAGCTCCCTAAACTTGGGAATGTTTACATCAGGCATGGGCCAAGTTGGGCCCTCCAGGTGTTTTGGACTTCAACTCCCACCATTCCTAACAGCCGGTAGGCTGTTAGGAATGGTGGGAGTTGAAGTCCAAAACACCTGGAGGGCCCAAGTTGGCCCATGCCTGGATTACACTATGTAATGATCATAATATCCTGCCTTGGCTCCATTCACCAAGTCAGGGTTCAAAGTGCTAGACACCAGTTTACTATAGGTTTTGTTTACTTTTGGGAAGTGTTTGTCCTAATTGAATCATGGCCGCCAGATTGTGACAAAGCAAAGCCTCGCAAGACCATTTATTTTGGCTTGAAGGCTGCACAATGGAGGCCAAATCCCGCTTTTTCCTCCTCTTCAGACTTTGCCATTTGTATAGAGATTAACCAATTGTTCGAATGGATTCCCTGCAGTCCTTTTCGGCCTCTGTAAACATCATCAATGGCTCTAGAAGTGAGTTTGCTCCAATAAATGCTGCAGTTTGTCCACTGTTGGAGCAAGCTCTAGACTTGGAAGGGTCTCCCAAAGGTCATCCAGTCTAACCCCATTCTGCAGAAGAAGGCACAGTCTAATCCCTCCCCACAGATGGCCATCCAGAGTTTTGATTACACCAATTTCTCCTTTGATCTAGGTTTGTGTTGCCTCGTCGCTTGCTCCTGGATCGGAAACCAAATTGTGCAGAGTTTCTACAGTGCCCTGGTGCCCGTCAATTCAAAGTGAGTTCTCCTTTAAGAAGTTGAGTGGGAAAGCAACATTTGATGGGGATCAATGTGGAAAGTAATGGGAAGCACAACAGTTTAGATCAGGCATGGGCAAACTTTGGCCCTCCAGGCGTTTTGGACTTCAACTCCCTTTTTTTTCCTATTGGCCTATTTGCATGCCAATCTTCCTTTCTCTCCTGTTACTGCCCTCTAGAATTATAGAATCATAGAATCAAAGAGACCTCCTGGGCCATCCAGTCCAATCCCCTGCCAAGAAGCAGGAATATTGCATTCAAAGCAGCCCCGATAGATGGCCAGCCAGCCTCTGTTTAAAAGCTTCCAAAGAAGGAGCCTCCACCACACTCCGGGGCAGAGAGTTCCACTGCTGAACGGCTCTCACAGTCAGGAAGTTCTTCCTCATGTTCAGATGGAATCTCCTCTCTTGTAGTTTGAAGCCATTGTTCCATTGTGTCCTAGTCTCCAGGGAAGCAGAAAGGAAGCTTGCTCCCTCCTCCTGTGGCTTCCTCTCACATATTTATACATGGCCCTCATCATATCTCCTCTCAGCCTTCTCTTCTTCAGGCTAAACATGCCCAGCTCCTTAAGCCGCTCCTCATAGGGCTTGTTCTCCAGACCCTTGATCATTTTAGTCGCCCTCCTCTGGACACATTCCAGCTTGTCAATATCTCTCTTGAATTGTGGTGCCCAGAATTGGACACAATATTCCAGGTGTGGTCTAACCAAAGCGGAATAGAGCATGGGGAGCATGACTTCCCTAGATCTAGACACTAGGCTCCTATTGATGCAGGCCAAAATCCCATTGGCTTTTTTTGCTGCCACATCACATTGTTGGCTCATGTTTAACTTGTTGTCCACGAGGACTCCAAGATCTTTTTCACACGCACTGCTCTCGAGCCAGGCATCGTCCCCCATTCTGTATCTTTGTATTTCGTTTTTTCTGCCTGAGTGGAGTCTCTTGCATTTGTCACTGCTTTATTTATTTATTTATTTGTTGTGTCAGAGCAACCAGTCCATTACATTACATTTCTAACACAGCAAAGCAAACAAACAGACAGAATACAAAACTTGTGAGTCTGGTAGTTGGTTAAATGTCCTTTGACCAACTGCTGAACTTCATTTTGTTCGTTTTGGCCAATCATCTCTCTAATCTGTTCAGATTGTTTTGAGTCCTGCTCCTGTCCTCTGAAGTATTAGCTCTCCCTCCCAATTTGGTGTCATCTGCAAACTTTGATGATCATGCCTTCTAGCCCTTCATCTAAGTCATTAATAAAGATGTTGAACAGGACCGGGCCCAGGACAGAACCCTGCGGCACTCCACTTGTCACTCTATCCCAGGAACTGATCCCAGATTATATGGCAGTGTAGACTCGTATAATCCAGTGCAAATCAGATAATCCGGGATCAAATCCTGGGATATAGGGCAGTGTAGATCCAGCCTGATACTTCACAGGGATTTCTTACTTAGACAATCCCTCGTTGTCCTAGTAGGATAATCCTCCAGGGTGTGTCCATAGGTGACTATGGGGCCCTATACTAGATCTGTATCTTCTCCCGCAATTTCCAGGTGGAAGGCAGTCCCTGTCGGGGTTGACTTGATGCGCCTTCCTCTTGGCACAGTTCTCTCTTTCACCCTCCATTCATGCTCTTCAAATTCTGCAGCACTGCTGGTCACAGCTGACCTCCAGCTGGAGCGCTCAAGAGCCAGGGCTTCCCAGTTCTCTGTGTCTATGATACTGTTTTTGAGGTTGGCTTTGAGCCCATCTTTCAATCTCTTTTCCTGTCCACCAACGTTCCATTTTCCGTTCTTCAGTTCGGAGTAGAGCAACTGCTTTGGGAGGTGGTGGTCGGGCATCCAGACAACGTGGCCGGTCCAGCGGAGTTGATGGTGGAGGACCGTCGCTTTAATGCTGGTGGTCTTTGCTTCTTCTTCCAGCATGCTGACATTTGTCCCCTTGTCTTCCGAAGAGATTTGCAGGATTTTCCGGAGGCAGCGCTGATGGAATCGTTCCAGGAGTTGCATGTGACGTCTGTAGACTGTCCGTGTCTTGCAAGTGTATAGCAGGGTTGGGAGGACAATGGATTTAGAAACAAGCACCTTGATATCCCTATGTCCCAGTCCTCAAACACTCTCTGCTTCATTTGGAAAAATGCTGCACTCGCAGAGCTCAGGCGGTGTTGAATTTCAGAGTCAATGTTGACTTTGGTAGAGAGGTGGCTGCCAAGGTAGTGGAAATGATCAACATTTTCTAATGTTACCATTAAGCTGTATCTCTGGCATTGGAGAGGAATTGGCTGGTGCCTGCTGGAACAGCACCTTGGTTTTCTTGATGTTCAATGACAGGCCGAGCTTCTCGTATGCGTCTGCTTGTAGATCTTCTTCTGAATGCGCATGGATGACGTCGTTATCAGCATACTGGAATTCTCAGGGACACACCTCTTTAAGTATGTGACAAGCCCCAGTTTGTCCTTCTCCTGTGAGCATGGAGAGAGGCAAGATGTCAGCTGCGAGTTAGATAGCTAGGCGCTGTGTTAACTTCCAATATAGTAATGTAAGTCTTTGAGTAAGGTATTTTCTTTTGTCGGAGCTCACCTGTCTGTTACTTTTTCCAGGTACGAATTTGGGGCGGCCATCTTCATCGGCTGGGCGGGGGCGGCCCTGTCGCTCCTGGGCGGGGGGCTCCTCTCCTGCTCCTGCCCCTCCAAAGAGGGCTACAGTGGGCGCTCCTACCCGCAAGGCAAGCCCATCTCCAAGCCCCCCAGCAGCAGGGAATACGTCTGAGAGAGAGGCCGGCGGAGCCCGCCTCCCACACACCTGCCCCAGGCACACCTGGAATACACACCTGGACTCTGCCCGGCGCCGCACACCTGGCGGATCTTGAACCTCGGCCCCCTCGGAGTGCCTTTTAAATGTTCTGCATTTCATAACGCGTTTTTAAGAAACTTAATTGTACTACTTTTTTAAAATAATAAACTGGCTTTGTAATTATTTAGGAGTTAGCCATGTCTATCCATCTAGTCATCCACTGATCTATCTATCCATCTATATATATATATATATTGGGTACTATAGAGAGATAGTGTGAGATAGATCAATGTATCTATCTATCCATCCATTTTCAAGAAACTTAATTGTACTACTTTTTTAAAGAAAATAATCTGGCTGTGTAATTATTTAGGAGTTAGCCATATCTATCTATCTATCTATCTATCTATCTATCTATCTATCTATCTATCTATCTATCTATCTATCTATCTATCTATCTATCTATCTATCTATCTATCCATTGATCTATCTAGCCATTTATATTTATAGATATATAGGTACTATAGATAGGTACTAGATACTATAACGGCGCTCCATGCAGTCATGCCGGCCACATGACCTTGGAGGTGTCTACGGACAACGCTGGCTCTTCGGCTTAGAAATGGAGATGAGCACCACACCCAGAGTCAGACATGACTGGACTTAATGTCAGGGGACTACCTTTACCTTTACTGTAGGTAGATAGATAGACAGATCAATGGTTTTGTCATTGTTTAGGAGACCTACCTACCTACCTACCTATCCATCTGTCTGTCTGTCTATCTCTCTATCTATCTGCCCATCCACTGATCTATCTAGCCATTTATATTTAGAGATAGCTATATAGGTACTATAGATAGGTGGATAGATAGATTAATTGTGATTTTGTTATTGTTTAGGAGATACATCTACCTACCTACGTATCCATTCATCCATCTCTCTATCTCTCTATCTATCTATCTGCCCATCCATTGATCTATCTAGCCATTTATATTTAGAGATAGATATATAGGTACTATAGATAGGGGGATAGATAGATCAATTGAGGTTTTGTCATTGTTTAGGATATACACCTACCGACCGACCGACCGACCGACCGACCTACCTACATCTATCTATCTATCTATCTATCTATCTATCTATCTATCTATCTATCTATCTATCTGCCCATCCATTCATCTATCTAGCCATTTATATTTAGAGATAGATATATAGGTACTATAGATAGGTGGATAGATAGATCAGTTGTGGTTTTGTTATTGTTTAGGAGATGCATCTACCTACCTACCTACTTACCTACCTATCCATTCACCTATCTATCTATCTATCTATCTATCTATCTGCCCATCCATTGATCTATCTAGCCATTTATATTTAGAGATAGATATATAGGTACTATAGATAGGTGGATAGATAAATCAATTGTTGTTTTTGTTATTGTTTAGGAGATGCATCTACCTACCTATCTACCTATTCATTCACCTATCTATCTATCTATCTATCTATCTATCTATCTATCTATCTATCTATCTATCTATCTATCTGCCCATTCATTGATCTATCTAGCCATTTATATTTAGAGATAGATATATAGATACTATAGATAGGTAGGTGGATAGATAGATCAGTGGAGGCTTCATAATTGTTTAGGTGATACTCCTAATGTCTGTCTATTTATCTATCTCTCCATATATTTAGCCTTCTATATCTATAGATACGTGGGTACTATAGATGGATGGATGCATAGATAGGAGATACTCCTATCTATCTATCTATCTATCTATCTATCTATCTATCTATCTATCCATTGATCGATCTATCCTTCTATACCTATAGATTTATGGGTACTATAGATAGATGGATGGATAGATGGCTAGATATAAAAGGAGACTTTAATTATTTAGGAGACATTCCTATCTATCCATCGATCTATCCATCTATATGTATAGATATATGGGTACGATAGATAGATAGATAGATAGATAGATAGATAGATAGATAGGTAGGTAGGTAGGTAGGTAGGTAGATCAATAAAGTAGGCTTTGTAAAATTATTTAGGAAATACTCATACCTGTCTGTCCATCCATCCATGTGACTCATTCATTGATTTATCTGTCCATCTATATATCTATAAATCTATCTATCAATCTATATATCTATTGATCTATATATCTATAAATAGATATATGGGTACTGTAGATTGATGGATCAATGGATCGATAAACGGCTTTGTAATTATTGAGGTGATACCAATATCTATCTATCCATTCATCTATCGATATATTTGCCTGTAGAATCATAGAATCAAAGAGTTGGAAGAGACCTCCTGGGCCATCCAGTCCAACCCCCTGCCAAGAAGCAGGAATATTGCATTTAAATCACCCCTGACAGATGGCCATCCAGCCTCTGTCTACTCATTCATCTATCTATCCATCTATATATAAATAGATATATGGGTACTATAGATAGATGGATAAATAGAGCAATAGATGGGTAGATGGATGGATAGGCAGATAGATAACAGTACAAGGGGCATCTACACTGCCGATCTAATGCGGTATTGTACCACTTTAACTACAGTGGCTCGTTGTTATGGAATCCTGCGAGTTGTGGTTTTGCAAGACATTCAGGCTCCTCTCCAAATAGTGCTGATGGCTCACCAAACTACAACTCTCATGATTTCATATCCATAGCAATTAAAAGTGGTATCAAATTGCCTTTATTCGACAGCGTTGGATGTACATATAGATATGAGTGTATCCCTTAAATAATGTAGATATAGATGTATATAATCATGGGTGGGATTATGGATCCATATCATCTGCAATTAACTAGCGCCTTGTAAAACGAAAGGCAGGGATTTCAAAGTTTCCGATGCCGTCTTTTCAAGGCGACGATAACACGTTTTTATGTAAAACCAAAGACGGGATCACATTTGGATGGATGTAAATCCATATCTGGGAAAAGACCAGAGTTTGGAATGAATGAATGAATATATATATGGAGTGACACCTCACAATTTTCCTGGTTTTGCTGAGAGTTGAAGTCCAAAACTCGCAGCAGACATCTTGCCTCTCTCCATGCTCACAGGAGAAGAATAAAATGGAGGAATTTTATCTATTATATCAAACTCTCCATAGTGCATTCATTTGGAATTGAAATAGAATGGATGATGCTGAGACATTTCACCCTCCTTTTGGGACTACAACTCCCAGCATCCAGGAAAACAGAAAGATGGACATGTTACAAGAACTACAACTCCCAGACCATGGAGAGAAGGCAAACTAGATGGCTAGATTTCTATGGAAATAGCTTGGCCTTTTGGATAACATTGGGTGGCAACACTCAGCAGCCTCAAGGACATTGGTAGAGGATGATGGGAGTTGGAGTCCAAATTCTACAACAGGTATGGGTCAACTTGGGCCCTCTAGGTGTTTTGGACTTCAACTCCCATCATTCCTAACAGCCTCAGGCCCCTTCCTTTTCGGATAACATTGGATGGCAACACTCAGCAGCCCCAAGAACATTGGTAGAGGATGATGGAAGTTGGAGTCCAAATGGCTCTACAACAGGTATGGGTCAATTTGGGCCCTCTAGGTGTTTTGGACTTCAACTCCCATCATTCCTAACAGCCTCAGGCCCCTTCCTTTTCCCCCTCAGCCGCTTAAGCGGCTGAGGGGGAAAAGGAAAGTGCCTGAGGCTGTTAGGAATGATGGGAGTTGAAGTCCAAAACACCTGGAGGACCCAAGTTGGCCCATGCTTGCTCTACAAGGCTGTATAATTTGCAGAAATATGGATAAATCCTACCTCAAACCCTCACTCACCCCACTTTCCCTATATTTTCACTCCTCAATGATTATATATTTTTGTATAAAATTATAATAATTGCATAATTGCATGCTGTGAGACTGATCGATTCTTAAACCTTTCTTTCTGGGAAAAGGGGGCGAAAGCGACTTGCAGGTTTGGCCAGGAACGGAGATATTCCTTGAAACCCTAAAACCTTGAATTATTTAAAGCCGTAGGGTTGCGTACGCATCTGTGTATTGTGTTTTTTTTTTAATTGTCTCCTTGTTTTGCTGGGAATTGATATTATTTTCTCCTTTTTTTGTATATAATGAATAAAGACTGTTTTGGACAAAAGTGAGTTTTGTTTGGATCCTGTTTTGGGGAGAAACGGTGGCTGAAAGGTCCATCTACACTGGAGAATGAATGCGGATTGACACCACTTTTAACTGTTGTAACTGTTCATAGAATCACAGGATCCTACAGTTGGAAGAGACCCCGAGGGCCATCCCGTTCAGCATCCTGCTATGCAGGAAGGCACAGCCAAAGCCCTCCTGGCAGATGGCCATGCAGCCTCTGCTTCAAAACCTCCAAAAAGGCGACTCCATTGCACTCCCAGGCATACACCACTATTGAATAGCACTTACTGTCAGGAGGATCTTCTTAATGTTCTCAGTGGTTCTCAACCTGGGGTCCCCAGAGGTTTTTGGCCTTCAACTCCCAGAAATCCTAACAGCTGGTAAACTGGCTGGGATTTCTGGGAGTTGTAGGCCAAGACACCTGGGGACCCACAGGTTGAGAACCACTGGTTCAGGTGGGTGTCGATGCAGGGAATGGCTTTGAGCAACATGAGCCATCATCCCCAACTGTTGTGGATTTGGGGATATGTTGCAGCATCTATCGACGATACTTCAAGTAGTGCCAAAGGGCATCCATACTAGGTGAAATCTTTGGTTTGGAGGGGAAGACCCATCCTCCCCATTGTCACTGATAAGTAGATAGGTATGTAGATAGATTGATAAAACAGATTAGAGAGAGAGAGAGACAGGATGGATAGATATAGATAAAATACATTCAGAGTGATAGATTGGGTAGATACAGTGTTTCTCAACCTTCCTAATGCCGTGACCCCTTAATACAGTCCCTCATGTGGTGGTGACCCCCAACCATAATATTGTTTTCATTGCTACTTCGTAACAGTCATTTTACTACTGTTATAAGTCATAATGTAAAATATCTGATATGCAGGATGCATTTTCATTCACTGGACCAAACTGGGCACAAATACCCAATACACCCAAATGTGAATGCTAGTGGGGTTGGGGGAGGATTGATTTTGTAATTTGGGAGTTGTAGTTGCTGGGATTTATAGTTCACTTATAATCAAAGAGCATTCTGAACTCCACCAGCGATGGATTTGAACCAAACTTGGCTCCCATGACCA